CCAGCCAGGTCAGGAGCCTGCCAGGTGAGTGTCGGTCCTGTCTAGTGTTTGGGGGTTCTGGGAGCAGAGACCCCAGGCCCAGTGCCCACAGCCTAATCCCAGCCCCGTTCTCTGTGGCCCTGGCCGGCCGTGGAGCCCTATGGGGACCTTCAGGGGTCACTCCCCCCACCCCCCGCCCCGAAACCAGACTTGACTTTGCTGAGTCATCCCAAAGTCCCTCCACCCACCTAGAATTGCCTGCTGCATGGACAGGCCTCCTCATAACGGAACAGATGACTAGGGGTCTGTCCTTGGCAGTAGTCAGCAGGACTGAAGCTGAGAGGGAAGCTACCCCCCACCCCTGCCCCCTGGCTTCCCCTGGGGAGGGGCATAAAGGATAAACCAGGTTTACTGGTCACAGTAATTAAAAGAGTTTCCTTCAGTAGAATGGAATTCAGATAAACTGCCATTATCATGCAAAGCAGCTTTGCACCTAAAAGCCCTTACCTAAACAAGCAGTTTAATTAAATCCCTAATCTCCTTTGGCCTGTCCTGACCCCTTCCCTACTCCACTCCCTGCCCCCCCCACCCCGCCCCCCTCCACCACACTGACTTGGGAACTTAAAGATTCCATTTAAAACACTTAACCTGCAAGCATGCAAAACATACTCAGAAATGGTGGTCTGGGTGTGGGTCCTCTTTGAGGTCCTGGTCTCTGTCTTAGGGTGTCCGTTTCCCGAGGTTCAGGTAGTCCTGATAGGGGTGCCGGGTGCCGATGGCAAGGGTGACCATGGTGGTGACAGTGAAGTGATGGGAGCAGGCATGGCCTTGAACAGAAGGATGTACGCATCGCACAGCCCTGCTGGCCCCTGTTTGTGCCCAGGAGCTGATGCCTGTGTAGGATCCACCCCACGCAATGTAAAGTCAACCATCTCACCACCCACAGAAAGTGTGTAGCAGCCTTAACAGACTTGGATGTAAGAACCCTAGTGTTGAACCAGAAGAGGCAGGGATGGACGAATTGACCTGTCCACGCGTGTCCCCATTTGTGAGGCCACACTGACCACTGCTGTACAGGAGGGACGCCAAGCCTGTTGGTGAGAACCAAGTTCTCTGCAGAAAGGCTGAAGCAACGATTTGGAGCTCAGGCGACCTGCTGTAGGTACAGGCAGAGACTAGGATAAAGGAAGAACAGAATGGAATGGGTTGAGGGGGAAAGGCTGGGGAGAAGCCTCCCCCAAGGGTGCTGATAGAGAACGACCCAGCAGAACCTTCTAACATCTCATGATGCTGTAGGAATTTGTGCCTTTGCGTAGGGAAAGAAGGAAAGGAAATCAAGTATCAGATACCAGGGGTCAGAGCATGTTATCTCTTCAATTTCAACCGTATAAGGTAAATCTTATCCTCTTTCCCCCACCCCCATGGGAGAAAACTGAGATGCAGGCTGGTGAGGAGTGTCGCCCAACGTCACACAGCTCGTGAGCAGCAGAAGCAGGATTCAAATGCTGGCCTGTCGATGCTTTTTCTGCTAAACCACAGGTCAGCCGCCAGCATTATAATGTTGGAGGGGGATTAACCACCCAAGAATACTCATCGCCCTCCCTCCTGCAGTTAAGAACGTTTCCATCCTGAAACAACCCATTTCCTCTGAGCGAGAGCGGGAAGGTC